GCCAGGTTTTAATGGCTTTTTGGAAGGCCGCAAGGGTGGGAAGGGTCCGGATCGCTGCTGGTAACTCGTTCCACAGAGCCGGAGCAGCTACAGAAAAGGCTCTCCCCCGAGTGGTCACCAGCCGGCATTGTCCGGCAGACGGCACCCGGAGGAGGCCTAACCTGTGTGTTCTTATCGGACGTTGGGAGGTGTGTAGCAGGAGACGGTCTCTCAGATATCCAGGTCCAGTGCCGTGTAGGGCTAACCACGGTTATAATTGAGAGAATTTCCATCACTTAAGCGATGAAGTGCACTTACTTTGCTTCACTGTGACAATCTAGGCAGTTGTGTGTATTAAATTAGTGCCCTGGTTATCAGTGAGGCAACTTCCCGCCGGCTTCCACAATCAGGTCAGTGGGGAAGCCAGTAGGAAAAGGTGCAAGCCCCAAGCGACGCCAAGTGGAGGAAGGAGCAAGAGATGTGGGCGGGCAGGGTGTGTAAGACCTCAGCTTCTGAAGCTGGAAAACACTGCACGGATTTTGGCGTGGACCTTTGTCAGCCAGAGACCGGACGAAGTCCCTCCTGACAGTCGGACTGCGACTTGCAAGCTTCCCTTGCCAGCCTCTCCACTGATTTTCTGCAAAGCCAGAAGGAAACCTGGCAAATGCCGATCACATCACAGTCGCAGGGGGCTTGGCAACTGGCTATAAATGTAAACGGGATGCCAAACGCCTAATCAGGTGACCCCGAAGCTCTTTCATCAGCCAGAACCTCAGTACGACCATTCAGCCCCATTGCAACTCTGAACAGTCAGAATGGACGGCTTCAGGTTGAGGGCTACCTGTAATGCCTTCCGTTGAACCAAAGGACTGTCTCTGGGTCGGCTCAGACAGAGATCATTTGGGGCAGAAACTGAGGGGGTGGCTGAAATGGAGGAGCTGACCAGGGGGAGCCCCAGACTCCCCTACAGCTATGCTTGTGGTACTTACAATGCGGCCACTGCCTCAGCCTAATGAACACTTGCTGAGTTGTGATCAATGATTCCTTAAATGTTATCGAGAGTTCTTTAGAGAAGCAGCAGGAGGGATGGAACCTACCTGATAGCCACCACCAGATTCTGGTGCCATTTGGCAAAGTCCTCCTGATCACAAGACATCAGCAGTAACTTTTTTTGTGGGAAAGAGAGCTGAAAAGAGAAAGAAGGACAGGAAACTGCTGTGTGGCCCAAAAGAAAGATTCCCCAGTTTCCCCACCCCAAAGTCCCTGGCTAGGGAGTCATCAATGCCTGCCATCCCTTCTTGGCACTAGCCCCATTTGTGCCTCCCACATCACCCTCCATCATATGTTATCATATAATTCCTTGTGTAGGTGTGGCGGTCACCCATGGCCCAGTGCATAACAGGGCATGCAGAGCCACGCTGAATCACACAGGAAAAAACAAACTCCTAAAACTCCATAACATCCTGATAGTTCATAACATAACATCCTGATAGTCCATAACATAACATCCTGATAGTTC